GGCAAGCTGACGAAGCACCCCCTTGCAAGGGGTGACAACGAGGAGCGGGGGATGACTCCCGAGGAGCACCACGACTACGGGAGCTTGCTCCAGAAGGTGCGGTGGCCTGTCGCACGCGTGGTGCCACAGGTCGCGTATAGTGTCTCGGCGCTCGCACAGAAGGATCCGAAGGGTCGGAGGTTGCTGCACCTGCGAGTGCTCAATGACATCATCGACCGGCTTCAGGACTACGACAAGAGAGGTCTTGCGACTCTCCGGATCCGCCGTGTGGACATCGAGCGCTTGCAGGTGCTCACGCTTATGGACGCTTCGTTCGCGAAGGAACCCGGCTGTAAGAGCCAGATGGGGTTTATGAGTATGATTGCGGACACCCGAGTTTTGAAGGAGCTAACTGTATGCTGTCTAGTGGAGTTTCAGAGCAGTACTATTACACGAGTTGTTGGATCTACGATGGCCGCAGAGTCTGCGGCTATGTCCGTGGCTTTGGATCGGCAGCTTTACCTCAGGCTGCTGATTGAGGCAATCTTGTACGGGGAGCCGCCCTTGCAAGGGGACTGGAGGCTGGCGCTGAAGGTTCCAGGGGCGCTCGTGACGGATGCGAAGTCGCTCTACGATCACACGTCCAAGATCGGGTCGATGCCGGTGTCTCGGCAGACCCTCATTGACTTGCTGGTGGCCAAGGATTTGATAGAGCAGGAGGCCATCAAGTTCAAGTGGCTGCCTAATAGCCACATGCTAGCGGATGTGCTGACAAAAGCCGTGCAGCCTAACGAGGTACTATCGCAGTTCCTCCGCCACGGCCTGTTCAGCATGGTGCCTACTGCTGAGCAAGAGGATGAGGAGGCACACCGTCTGCGGCTGCGCCGCGGACAGCGTGAGCGAGCCAAGGAGCGGAAGGCCCAGCGTCGGGTCGCCGTTCCAGGGCCTGCGAGCCCGTGAGGTCCTGATTGCAGCTGCTGATGGACCTAGTGAGGGCTACGGTGATGTATGCATATCTTTTGAGTTGATCGTCTGGAGTAGTGTATCCAGATATTCATATTCTTGTATTTATATTTTGAGCCTCAGGCCGCACCTTGCTTGAGGTGTCTCATGCATATCTTTTGAGTTGACAGTCTGGATTGGTGAATCTAGACATTCATATTTATATTTCGAGCCTCAGGCCGCATCTGCTTGAGGTGTTTCGGCCCGTGGGCTGATATACATTATAATTGCGTGCAGCGTTGCCCTTTCAGAGGGAGCGGCATCGGGGCAGCATTGTACTCACCCAGTGTGAAGAGTGCACTCCCCTGCCCCTCTGCCGCCCGTGCCACCATGTGTGTATGTTGTACACGCTTGTCTTGTTTTGTGGCATGCACGCTGCCCGCCGCTGTTTTGGCCCTAGTCCTAGGGCCCTGGGACGCACCCGCAGTTTCGACCGCCGCGCGGTCCGAGCGAAAACAACTGCACTGACAGAGGCGATCTTTGCAAAGTGTGAGGGAACAACACGGGACATACAAAAACCATCTCGTGGACGTTTGGGGCCCTTCTAAGCCATCGTGGAGGCAGCCTGGGGCCACCTTCGGCCGTGGGCCCGTGGAGCCTTCCTCGGGGTTTCCCAGGGCAGTCTTCGGGCTCTCTTGGGCCTTCCGTGGGAAGCCGTGGAGCAACCTGGGCTGGTCAGGAATTCGAGGGACTCACCATGGGTGCTTGTGTTGACGTCCCGGGCCCCTTGTAGATGGTAAAAGGGAGGCATGGCTAGATAGACAAGAGACAACACAGAAGGCAACACAAACGACACGAGGCCGCAGTCCAGTAGACAACCTCACAGCCAGAGGAGGGGAGAGGAGGAAGAAGAGGAATAGAAGGAGGAGGAGGAGGAGGAGGAGGAGGAGGAGGAGGAGGAGGAGGAGGAGGAACTCCTCTTTGCTTCCTGCATTCTGCTCCTTCCTCCTTCCCCCATCCTCTCTCCTTCCATCCTCCACTCCACCACGTGCTGCTACTTCCTCCCCTTCTCCCTTCTCCTTTTCCCCTCTTCTCCTCTTCCCTTCCTCCTTCTTCATTTCTCCTCCTTCCTCCTGCCTCCCTCTCCTTCCCCATGCTCGTCTCCCTCCCCTCCTCCCTCCCATCCCCCTCCTCTTTTTCTCCCCATTCCTTTCTTTCCTCTTTACAAGTATTAAGCAAGTACTTATTATTAAAACTATTCTCCTCTCCCCCCCGAAACTGTCTGGGCTATGGTCCTGCTCCCTCCGCGTATTTTGGAACGCGCAGGATTTCAGCAGTGGGTTAAGGTTTTTTTTGACGATCCGACTGTCTTCGGTGTTCCACAGCGGTGCTCCCGCTGCAGCGTGGGCCTCATTTTGGGATCGGCGATTTGCTCCTGGCCGTCGGCTCCTCGACCCAGTGTGGGCCACCTTTCCGGATCCCACAGGCCTCGCAGGTCCCACAGGTCTCGCAGGTCTCGCATGCCCCGCAGGTCCCACATAATCCACAGGCCTCGCAGGCCTCGCAGGTCCCACAGGTGTCGCAGGTGTCGCAGGTCTCACAGGTCCCAAAGGTCCGACAGGTCCCACAGGTCCTTCAGGTCCCACAGGTGTCGCAGGTCTCACTGAGGCCACAGAGGTCCCCCAGGTCGCACAGGTCTCACAAGTCCCGCAGGGCCCACATGTCCCACAGGCCCACAGTTCCCACCTGCCCCACAAGTCCCACATGCCGCAGAAGTTTCACAGGTTCCACAGATCGCACAAGTCCCACAGTCCCCACTTGCCCCACAGGTCCCACAGGTCACCTATGCGCTGCTAGTAGGGTGCTTTGCTGGGGTCATGGAGTTGCAGGCCGGCTACGACAAGCGTCCGCGGATAGAGACATCTCAGCGCAATGGTGTGGAATGCGAGGGAGGGATCGAACGTCAGACGTGGCGCGGGCGCACCTAGCCGGACATGAATACCACTCTCCCCCCCGTTCCGCTGGACGTGGCCTGAGAGTCGCTAGCCGCTAGCCCCCCTCTCCGCGTTTTTTTTGCTGATCAAACATTTCATTTTTGAACTGTGCTTGTTCCAATTAGAACGTTCTCGATCCTTCCAAGATGGTGCTCCTGCTGCAACGTGGGCATGATTTCAGGACTGGGGCTCCGCTCCCGTCGTTCAGAGAGGCGCTCTCGCTCTGGGCGGGCCGCTCTTCTTCTGGATCCGAGTCCTTCCTCATCGTTGCCGCCTCCTTCATTTTCCCTCCTCCGCCTTCCCCTGGTCCTCCTGCTCCTCCCGCTGCTTCCACTCTAATTCCTACTGCTGCTTTTCGTCCACGTCCTCCTTCCTCCTCCTCCTCCTCCTCCTTCTCCTCTTCCTTTTCCCCCTGCTCATCCAGCACCTCCTCCTGTGTACGCAGCTCCCCTTTTCCGATTGCGCATAACACGATAGGGGTCTTTTTTGGAGGTCCAGGTCCGCTATGACGCTCGTCCGTGGGCAGAGAAGCAATCCTCGAGATGGGAAGGGGTGGGTGGAAGGGGTGGGATGTCAGACATGGCGCGAGCGCACCTAGCTTGCCCCCCCCCTCCTCTTTTCCCCCCTCCCCCTCCCCCGTGGCGACCTCGCTACGTGCGTTGGAGGCTGCGGGCGCCAGCCGGCGTCCTGGCCACAACGCTGGAGAACAGTCAGGCTCCGCCTAGCGCGTCGTTTTTTTTTTTTTTTTTTTTTTTGTTTATTCCCCCCCCCCTGGTGGGCCTCGCCCCCACGCCAGGGCGCCTGTCGGGTACAGTCGGACCGAGGTCTGAGATCGAGGTCGGTTTGGGGAGGATGCTCTGATGTTCTTCGTGTTGGATGGACGTTCTCGTGCATCCTGGGGGGAGGGTGCCCCCGATGGTTCTGCAGCTGGGCCGGCCGAGGGGCTCTCCTGCTCTCGGAAGGATGCTCTTCCGTCCCAGGTCCGGCTCTGGCTCGGTGAGGCCGCCTGCGCGCGCCCGACTTCCCCCCGACTCTCGGCGGCCCCGGCCTCCTTCCCCCCTCCTTTCGCGGCTCCCCGTTGCGCTGTCCCGCCCGCTCCCGTGCGCCCAGTGTCCGTGTGCGGCCCGCCGGCTCTGCAGTCGCGCTCGCGCCCGCCCTTCGCCGCGAGCAACAACAGAAAGTTGGGCAGCCTGGTGCCGTCGACGGCAGCAATCCTCATATCGGCGGCGAGCCTTGACAGACGAATTAGTGCTCAGAATGCGAGGAGAGAGCTTCTGCTTGAAAAGTGGAATAATGTATTTGTCGACTTTATACGAAGGCGGTTCCTCCACGTCTTTTGATAGTAATGCTGCAGCGACAGACCTGATAATTTAACAGGCAGACGCAGCATAACCCACTACACGTTAGAAAAACACTGGTTCTCAAAACGAACGGTCCGGGGGAAATTCAGAAGGAGAAGGCCTCCTCAGAAGGCTCGGGAGCCCCCCGGCCTCCCGAGAAGCTTCTCGGCGTGCCCCGAGGACGCAGAGAGCTTCTCAGAAGGCCCGGCGGCTTCTGATCAGCCACGCCGCCCTCTTGCGGAGGCCTTCTCCACCTCGCTTCCCCCTCCCTCGCTCGCCGCCGATGGTAGCCTCCCCTCCTCCTTGCCTCTGTCAGGAGGGAAAAAACACACACAGACACAATTAATCCTCGATTCCCCAAAAAATATGGGAAAATATGGGCAGTGGGCGGGAAGACAGAAACCCAGAAGATATGGGAAAATGGGCGGAATCTTTTTATTTGTGTGTATTTATTTGTGTGTCCTGGGGCCCCTTAGGAATCCCATCATGTTGAAGCAATCCTTAGGAATTTTCGGCAGTGTTCACGCGACGGTAGACGCAGCGCAGTCCGTATCGGGCTGGAAGCGCACGCTGCGCCATCACATTCTCTCATTGTGATTCTCCAAGTGTTTTGTCTATTGCATTTTCCGCGCTCTGTCTGTCCATGCACCGCCTGGTGTACGACTCGGAAGGAAGGAAGGGGGCCCCTTTACTCGGGAGGCGCGGCGGCGGCGCCGCGGGCGGGGAGCGCCGCCGACCCGCCCAGGGGCCGCCGCCGGCGGGGGCGACGCACACGAGCCCGCGGGTAAGGACCGGGACCTCGCCTCGGCTGGGCGTCGACGTGGTCGTCGTCGTCGTCGCCGTCGTCGTCGTCGCCGTCGTCGTCGTCGTCGTCGTCGTCGTCGTCGTCGTCGTCGTCGTCGCTATCGTCGTTGTCGTTGTCCATTCTGGCCCGAGCATCGACTCGAGCATTGCGACGGTGAGGGCGATAGTGCCAGTGTTGGCGCGTCTTGCGCTCGTGCTTGCTTTCCTAGTATGTCCCAGTCGCATCGTTCGTCTCTCATGGCAAGAGTGGCTATCAAGCAACAAATCCGATTGCCGACGGGGCACCCTCATCGCGAGCTCCTGGACCCGTGTCCGCCCCTGCATTTGAAAGCAGAGTAGCCTTCGGCCCATCCTGCCACCACGCCTGGGAAGGACTCTCTTGGATGCATCCTGGAGCCTCACGAAAAGGGCCTCTGCGAAGGGCCTCTTGTCCACCGCCCGGATGCGCCCGTATCCACCGCGGCAGTGGACATGCACATACCCTGGCGGCGCACACTGGAGGCCTCGTCGGAGCCCTCCGCAGCCTGCCGCCCGCCCCCCGCCCCGCGATGCCGCCGCGCAGGAGCGGCGGGCGCGCGCCGCCGCGCACGGCGGCCCACGCGCCGACCGAGCGCGCACCCCGCCGCGTGCGGCGCCCGCCCCCAATCAGAGGTGGATAGACCTCCTACCCTGACACGTCGATTAAGGAATTGGCCGTTTCGGCTCGCGAGAGGGCGTCGCGGTCGTCATTTTTGCGGGTCCAGGCCCGTCGGTTTCGGTCCCAGGCCGTTTTCCTTAAGGGGAGGTCTACTAAAGGGAGGTTTGTCCACCGCCGATCCAAGACCGCACCGTGGCGCACCGCCGCTCCGCCAGGCCGCGCCGCGCGCCTCCGCGGACCGCCGCCCAGAGGCAGGGCGCGGCGGGACCCGTGCAGCGATCTGCCGCGGCGGCACGCGCCGCCGATGGCCGAGCCGCGGCCGCGGCGGCGCGGCGCCGCGCCGCCCCGCCGCGGCCCGAGCGGCCCGCGCCGCACCTCTCGCTGCCGGCTGCCCGGCCGTGTGCTCGACGGCGCCCGCGCCCACGGCTTCCACCGGAGGGCGCCAGCTGCGCACGCCTGCGCCGAGGCTGGGCCCGGGATCGGCCCGGCCGGGGTCGGCGTGCGGGGGCGCAGCATTGGCGACCTCCCACCTCCGCGGGGGCCCCCTTCAAACGACGCGAAGATCGGGACAAAATCGGCTCGGGATACCTCGAAATCTCCGAGAGTCGGCGGGTTTGGAGGATGTATTGGGCGCCGCGGCCGCTCTCAGAGCGTTCTGGAACGCTCTGAGAGCGCTCCGGAACGCTCTGGAGCGATTCATCCCGATCCCAGCCCTGTTTTACCCTTGTCCTGGGGGCCCCTGCGCGGACCTGCGGCGCCAGGCCTCTTTGCAGCTGCGCGCGCCAGACCAGGCTTCGCTCGCGCCGCCAGGGTCGCCGGCCGCCTCCGCCGGGAGGGCGTCGAGGCGGGACTCCCCCCCGAGCCATCCCATGCTGGTCACCTCCAATCAGACCAGATTGCTCGTCCTCCTCCCTCCTCCCTCCTCCCTCCTCCTCCTCCTCCTCCTCCTGCTCCTGCCTCCCTCCCTCCCTCGCTCCAATCCGTTGGAGGTTTCTAGAGGCCGAAGCAGCGGGGTCGACACAGCAGCACCAAAAAATACCACCACCGCGAGAAGTCGCGACCAGAGCCCCGCCCCCTGTCCATCTGGGGCTTCCTCGAGAGCCAGATCCATCTCTGACGTGATGGTCCCGGGGGCCGAACCGGGGCGAAATCGCCGGGCGCGAATGACATCGCGACGCCAGGATCTCCGGGTTGAGCTGCTGCGAGGCATCCCGAGGCTGGAAATGCCCGAAGACCTCGGGACTCGAGCCTGTCACCCTCGACCCTCGGGCCCGGGATCCTCGAGCCTCGAGCCTGTCGCCCTCGAACCTCGAGCCTGTCGCCCGGGAGTCTCGAGCCTGTCGCCCTCGAGCCTCGATCCTGTCGCCCTCGAATCTCGTGCCCTCAGGGGCCAGAGAAGTCGGGCGTGTCTCCCTCCAGGGGGATTTCGGACGAAAAAATGAAATTTTTCCTCCGGAATTTGTTTGGGGCTATAGGGCTATAGGGCTATTGGGCTATAGGGCTATTGGGCTATAGGGCTATAAGGCTATTATAGGGCTATAGGGCTATAGGGCGATAGGGATATAGGGCTATAAGGCTATAGGGCTACAGGGCACCGGGCAGCCGCGCACCCGGCACCCGGCACCCGGGCACCCACCCGGGCACCAGGCACCCGTCACCCGGGCACCCCAGCACCCAGGCATCCGGGCACCCGGGCCCGGCCACCGAATCGGCGGCGAACCCGGGCACCCAGGCACCCGGGCACCCACTTTAAACGGAGAAGGTTAAAGGCGAGGTATAAATCGAGCATGTACCGCTGCCGTGCCTGGCTCAAGCCGGGCCCGGCCGAATATATGACTGTGCCTCACTGAGGCGCACGACTTGCATCAGAGATCGGAAAATACCTTTTCCATTGACGATGCCCATCCTATCCTTTACTCCAGATCCCATGCTTCGTCTTGCTCTCTTGCTCATGCGATATGAGCCAAAGCCTGGGATATGGCAACGCTTAAAGCGTAACACATACCTAAGCTTACCAGCTTGTTTTCGACTTGGTAGCGGAGCTGGCTACACTCTCGTGTGGCTGGCTCTCGCTCTGATTCCTGTAATCCACGGCACAACTTGGTGGACTACTACTACGGTGGAATACCATGTTGCGCCGGCTCTGCGAGGAGCGGAGCCAGTCCGCGATCGAGCTAGCGGGGCAACCCGCGAACTCGAGACGCTCTCTCCTACTTCACTGCGCTACTTCACTCCCGACTTCCACCAGATGCCAATCGGCAACTCGATCGAGAACGTGGTCACCCTGCGGGGCTACCCGCAGCGGGGCCACCTGCATCCCGTGCCAGTCAGGCGCCTCACGGCTACTACGCCAGAGCCTGACAAACCACAGCCTAAACCAATCACCGAAGCCGAAATGCACATGCACTGGATTAAGATAACTATCTTCGGCATTCTGTGGGTAATAATGGGATGTGCTGTGGGATACATGCGGCAGGGGATGGACGACACGCGTACTACTGGCCCTTCATGGGACCCTGCCGGTACTACGCCTTTTCGCGAATACGTTCGCGAAGTACATGCATGGTTAAACGTAACGAGTGGCAATATGACACCACCACAACAAGCTGCAGCACTACAACGAGGCCTTCAAGGTCTGGCTCGTCGTATCGCCATGCAGGTCCCCTCCCAGATCATCAATTATGGTGTAACTGTCAATGGACAGCCAACGGATGCAGTAACATATATACTGTACTTACTGAGCACCAAATTTGAAAATCTGGAAGATGAGCGCCAGCTCAACTCTGGCACTGCCCTTATCGACTTCCGCGTCGAAAGGGGCGAGCGAATCGACTCAGTATTAGCTCGATTCGAGATGGCCCGTGACGAGGCTAACTCTGTTGGCTTTGTCATCCCCAACTTTCAGATCCTAACGCTGATTCTCTTCAGAGCGTTAGGCGTTGGCGCGTCACGAGCCCAACACCTGCTTGAGCCCTTCAATCATCAGATGCCCCGAACACAAGCAGACTATGACAGGCTGCTGACCAGGATGAGGAACTACGGACATGTTGCCGAGCGCTCTCCTGGCAACATAGCGGGTATCTTCACAGGGCACCACTCACATGCAGGTGTCTACGCCACGACTGCGGGGTCACCCGCTGGTCCTGGCGAGCCAAATCCCTGGGCTGACCCAGCCGATATGCCCAACGAGGCCACTGCCCTTTTAGGGCAGACTGGCCAGGCATCGGCAGAGGCAGCTGAGGCGAACGCCTGGTCGAACTACTCGCCAGGCGCCGCCTACACTGCAAGCCCGCCCTCGGGCACAACCCTCTGGGGCCAAGCGGAGTCATCCGCTCAAGGGTCTCAGCCACCCTCACCGTTTGAATCTGGCACTGACACAGATACCTCATCTGACGATGAGCACAATGGCATAGTCTCTGCTGGTAATGACTACCCAGCGGATGACACTCACCTCTCTGAACAACAAAGAGCGGAAGCCGCCTTTATGGCTTATCGCAAATCAAAACGCCGTTGGAGGCGCTTTATGAAGAAACCAGTCAGAAAGGTGAGACGTGCAGTACGCCGACATTTCAAACGATTTGGAAAGGGTCGTGGCAAAGGGGGTCGCAGACGCCGTATGCATGGTAGGGGTATTACTGCTTTCCTCACGTCCTTAACTGATATGGCTTTTGAAGAAGTTCTTATCGGAGGCAAAGGTCGGGGTCACAGGCGGACCTCCGGTAAGGGAAAAGGGCGGAGGGGCAACCCTAGGGACGCTTCTGGCAATACTATGAAGTGTCATACATGCGGTAGCACAGAGCATTTGCGCGATCAATGCCCGAAGGGGAAAGGAAAGGGATCCGTACATTTGGCTCAAAATTCTTTTATGGATGACATAGATTACATTGACTACGAGTTTTACGTCAATCCAGAAGCGGCTCCCGCCGCGGGCTCCTCCACGTATTACGTGATGGCCCGCTACGCTGAAGCAACTGTAGCCCTGGAAGACTACGCAGTGACCCTCTTCGACGAGTTCCACGGCTGGGACGAGGTCGACGAGGTCGCGTACAATGCTTGGTTCGGTCTTCCAGCGGGGCCACCCGCCGGCGACGAGGTCTCCGAAGCCGAGACCGTCCCGGCAACAGAGGAAGAACTCACCGCCGTGCTGGCCCCGCAAGTGATTGGCATGCCGTTGCTGCCAAATCCTTCGTGGGCTGGTTCGGAGGCGGGAGACGCCGATGACGAAATGCGGGGCCATCCCGCGTATTCCGACTCCGAAGAAGCCGAAGAAGATTATAAGGACATGCTCCAAGAGCAGGTTTCAGAAGCAATCCGACTCCTGAGTGCGCCAGCACAGCAGCAAATAACTATGAAC